AAACAATTGAACATTAGACATGTATATAATGTACATGTATTATTAACATTCTTTTAGAATCTTTTCTGCTACTTACATGTAACTGAAATGATTTATGTCAAACAATCTTGAATTTTATATATATGCCTTCATGGATTATCAGTTTTGTAGTAAAAAGTAAAATCACAAAAATACCGAACTCCGAGGAAAATTCAAAAAGGAAAGTCCCTAATCAAATGACAAAATCAAAAGCTCAAACACATCAAACGAATGGATAACAACTGTCATATTCTCGACTTGGTACAGGCATTTTCTTATGTTGAAAATGGTGGATTGAACATGGTTTTATAGCTAGCTAAACCTCTCACTTGTATGACAGTTATATCAAATTCCATTATATTGACAACGATGCGTGAACAAAACAAACAGACACAATAGGTAAAAATGTCAAAAATAGGGGTACAGCCGTCAACATTGTGTTATCATCTTAATCATTATAAAAACAAACAAAGAAGCACAAAAAGGCATACATCAAATCTAACAACCTCATTTTGCTTTTTTATTATGCGATTTTATTTATATATGTAAATTCCACCCATAAAGGATTGAAAGATTTTAAGTACTTGGACCGAATCCTTATCTTGACAGACACATGGTTAGATTAACATTAACTTTGACGTAGAATCGCTCTTTTGACGTCACACAGGTAGAAATAAAATAATTTTGTCGTTCAATGTATGAGGGGATGCATAAGTTCAGAGTCATGTCAAATTGATATCACAAAAAACAGACTTAAGGTGGCTGGGGCGTCTTAATTAAAATTGACAGATTTTTTTGATAATTTGTCAAAAATGAAGTTTTTATCATACTTTTTTCAAAAATATAATAAAAAGTATGGGTCACCGAACTTATTTTCATGCTAGAGGTTGTGCAAAATTGTCAGATTTTGTATAGATTATGCATGGAAAATCAAATTTTGTGTGATAAAAAGAAAACTACTTGGTAGAACTTTAAGATAAAATGTGAGAAGATAGCTCTTATAAGATGCTTTCATATAAGAAAAAGAAAAAATGGGGTCACCGAACTTGTTTTCTTGCTACATATCAAAATAGGTAAATTCACAACACTTTCTATTGTAAAAATTACTTTATCTGAGTTATCTCCCCTTATGTGGCAAAGTTGAAAAAAATCTAATTAAACACAAATAAGGTGTTTTTGAGAAATTACAGCAGTAATTATGATAAAACACACAATTTTCTATATTTACATCAAAAGTCTTTTACATAAATTACATACTACTCTCAAAATTTGCACATTTCATGAAATATCTAGACCAACGTTATCTGCTACGTCGAGATCCAAAATGGAGGAAGACACCCGAATCACCTTAACAGTAAAAGTAAAAAGGCATAATCAAATCTAACAACCTCATTTTGCTTTTTTATTATACGATTTTATTTATTTATGTAAAATCCACCCCTAAGTAATTTAACCCTATATAAGACATGATGCATCACTATTCAGGGCTTCTACAGAAAAAATTCCAGTATGCAGTTTAAAATGAGTCACAGGAATAATAAATCTTTATATAAATGATCAACAATATATGATTCATTTTTTTAGGAAAAATAAAGAATTTTAACAGACTTTAAATAATCAGGCAATGTATTATTATTTACCAAAAAAATTAGGGCTCATGTTTAACTTGACATTTTGCTTTAAATAACTTCTTGCTACTTATCAGGCATCTTTCAAATAACTTGTGACATCTTTATAATGTAGATTGAAAAATATAGATAGAATAAAGGAAATGAGCTGAAACTTTAAATTTTTGATAATTATTGAGCACTGATACGTATAGCGTATATCATTAAATAGTCATAAGTATATAACATTGAATTGGGGGTTGGTCAGGATAATTCAGACTATTTAAGATATTCAGATCAAACAATCTTAAGATATATAAGTGCAGAATGCAAATTTATATGTCATCGAAAATATACTGCTGGGACTGTAAACATTGTAAAAGTGATTGGTCAGACATGGGTCGTGTTCCTGTATGCACCAAATTATCAAGATTTAACTGTACAATGATATTATTTATTGTGTGCAGTAATTATTATAATTACCTAGTGCAACTTTACTGTTGATATCACAAATTCTTCCATGCCGTTTGCCGGTTGGTTTAGGTGCTTATAATTTTGGTTCATACACATTACTTTCAGAATGAACCCTAAACCACACTCATTTATGTTTACTGCATGTTTTAAATGTAGAGGATTGCCACACATTTTAAAGTCCAGAGTGTCAGCTAAAACATTTACTCTACAACTCTCCTACTTTTTCTCCCAATAACAGTATTTGCTGTAATGTTAATGTCATCCTCGTCAATCACTTCTTCGTGTATTACGTTTGACATGTTTGGTATTGTATAAGGTGCACGAAAATTGGAAGCATACTGGTGGTCCAAATTTCGGTTAAATGTCCATCTGATCTACCCTTTTACAATAGCGTTAAGTTTCCTTTTCTTCCTCGGCGAATTAAACCCAGACTTAAGCTTCGCCACTCTTAAAACTATATGCAAAATTCAATCATATAAAATAGTTCAAAAACGTGTATAAAATATAGAAAAAGTATCAAAACGCTATAAAAAGTGGGAATGAAACAATCGTCGGCAAAGTGCAACTCCCGTCGGAAATATAAACAAAAATACCGGAAGTTCCAGAAATGTACGATTTATTGTCGATTTATTTCTTATTTATTAAAACATTAAGGAGAATTTTGAGAACGAAAAAAAGTGCTTTTTTTTTCTTGATAAAACCATATATCTTTTAACGACATATCATTTTGCATAACGGTGCGCCAACTTTACCAAAATCGTGACTAGTGAACATCCATTATTCAAAACTACGCTTTAAAACACTATAAGGAACATTTTGTGTGACACTACGGGAATTTACAACATTTATTAACAAAAAACTGCATCATGGATCCAGGGTAAAAAATTTTACGCCAGACGCGCATTTCGTCTAGACAAGACGCATCATTGACGCTAGAATAAGAATACTTATAATGGGCAAAATAAAGCTACATATATGACATGTTTAGGAACAGACTATATTTCACAAATTTAGGAGTGCAACAACAGGCTATTATTGACATCGATATCATATTATATAACGGAAAAAATAAACAAACTTTATTGATCCAATTTTGAAACTGTTTAAACAATATTAAATTCCAATAACAGTAACCTTTGACAACTATTAAGATCAAGGTGATGTTTTGCAACATGTTAATATGACTGAACTATTTCCATGACTATAACAATAATAATTTCGTTTATTTCAAACGGATAACACGTTTAGGCCAAAGACTAGTTTTCAATAAGGTCCTTCATTATATACACATATTACTACATAAAGTATAAAACTCAATAATAAAAATACTAATACAAATACAAATATCAAACTATTATACTGTGAACTATGACTAACTATTTAGTTAGTGTTAACTGATATATAAAAAAAAGATAATTACATGTATATTCATATTTCAAATATTGGGTTCCAAATGTGCTTCTTATAAATAACCATCTCATTCTATCAACCTAACATATTGTCAATAATTGTTTGTACTCAAATGTTTCTTGTCTTTGTTTGGTGTTGATGGTGGATCTGTCCGATGTATTTATTTTTACATTGTCTTATCTCTGGGTGATGAGAGGCTGATAGACTGGTTAAGATCTTTGTCTAACGGGGAAGACCTTTCTAGATTTATTTTGATTATTTTGTGTTGTTCGTTTGTTGTCTTGTACAATTTGTACCTAATCTCCATCAAATATTCCATCCTACGTAGCATGTGTCAGTGATTGTCAGTATTCATATTTAATGTTTCTTGTCCTTATGTGGTGTTGATTGATGATCTTCAATATTCCTAATCAATTATTTTTTAAACTGTCTTGTTTCTTGGTAATTCAGAGCTTACCTACAGGTAAAAATCCTGCGTTGAAGACCCTCTGAGATATTAAGTTTAATTTTTAATTTCAATATGTGTTTTTCGTTTGCTGTTTAATCAGCTGGTACTTAAAATATCTCCATCAAATATGTCAAAAAATTAGGCAATTACGAATCGATTTTAAGCACTGAATATTTCACAGAACTATTTTTTGCAAATTCAAAACAAGCTATGAATAGGGCAAAATAATATTTTTCTATCAAATTAAATTTCATAAATATATTTTTCTGTTAATGATCACCTGGGTACTGTTATCAAAAAGTCTAAAGCCAAAGTAAAGGTTACAAGGACAATTTGTAAACATGTTAGCTTGAAACATAATAATGTGCGATAACAGTAACCTTTTTCAGCTTTTAAGATCAAAATCATGGCTGTCTCTGCATTATTTCATCGGAAATGAACCATCAAAATACCTAATTGTGTAAGAGACAATTACAAATCGATTCAAGCTATAAATGGATCAAACCAGATTTTCCTCTCAAATAAAGTTCCAACAATTTATTTTTTCTGTTTATAATAATGAGATAATCAAACTCATAAGTTGAAAACAAACTGACAATGCCAAAGCAAAAAAACGAACAAAAGACTCCGTAAAAATCAACATTAAAAGAGAGGCGGAGAATACCAAAGGGAGATAATCAAACTCATAAGTCGAAAACGAACCGACAATGCCATAGCAAAAACGATGAAAAGACTCCGTAAAAATCAACATTAACAGTAACAAAAAATATAAATGTTATAAATTAATTTTATTAATTTTATGTACAATTGAAGAAACGATGCCACGTGGTCTGTCTTGATTCCCAAATAAATGCCAACACTATTCATTGACTTCAAACGCAAGAATGTTATACATAAACTGTTACTATAGTCTAAGCTCTCAAGAACATTTGAGTCCGTTCACGATGTAGTTTTACCGGTATCATTGTAAAATAAAGTTGTCCTTAGTTCCTCAAAACAATTATGTAAGTCAACGCTGCAGACGTATACAAAATGACCAGTACCTTTACTAAACTCAGTCAACACTGCATTGATAATTTTCAATTATTCAAATGCAGCAAAATTTAAAACCCACACTTGGTAATGTGAGATAAGTTTTATTCACCAATCAGAAAACTCTTTCTGTATCTGACAAGATGAATAAAAAGCTGAACTCGAGCTCGGTCTGAATGATGACGACGTACAGTATGTGGATGGTGTAATGAATGATTGCCCTACTGATTGCGAAACGGGAAATAATGAATCGCTTCCGAACGACTGCATGACTGCCGGAAATTGCGTTCTTATCATTTCGAATGTAGATATAGGAGATTGAATAATTTGATGTGGGTTGTGATGTTTGGTATACATTAAGGAGCCTTTGATTGAGTATGGTTGGAATCCAATATGCGACAATGTCATAGGTACATATCTATTATTATTCCGTGTGTAGAATTTTTTAGATGAATCATCGGCAGTTTTTACAGAACTTTTTCTAGCTCTTCGTCTTGTATTTCGACGCCTGAAGTCTCCTTTTGCAAAATCCTCTATACATGCTAGGTGAATAGACCAATAGTTGCCTTTGCCGTTATTGGACCTGCCACTTTTCAGGAAGCACTCGTTTAGAGAAAGATTATGTCGTATACTGTTTCTCCATCCTTTTTCTTTGTTATTGTAGAAGGGGAATTTATCCATTATGTATTGATATATGTCATTGAGTAACAGTTTCTTGTTCTGTTTACTTAGTATTGCCATGGAAATCATAGCTATGTAAGAGTGCGATGGCTTCTCATGGGTATCACTGGAAGATGATCCATTCTTTATTGGTCTGTCTAACGATAACTGAACCTAAAAAATGATAACAGATATAATAGAAAACAATAAATAAATATTAAAAAATAATGAAGAAATTAGCTAAATTGCCATTATCATTCATTGAAATCTGTGCAACAAAGTAAAATTAAGCTGTCGCTACGCTTAATTGTTAAATATATGGTAACATAAACTTCTTAGCTCATAATTTATATTTAATTTCTTATCGAAGAAAATAAATATCTTCATTCTTTTAATATATGATAAAATTCTCTCCCAATTTAAAGATATTTTCATTAAATGATATAACATACCTGTGCAATAGATTCATCACTGTCACTGTAGCTACTTTCACTTTCACTTGTACAAAGAGACGGTGTCCAAACTCCATCACCTTCGCTTGAGATCGAATCTCGTTTGACTCTTTCGGTATCTCCTCTGTTCAAATGATAGATGTTTAAATTTGAATTAATCATGGTTCCTAAATTAAGAGGAACAATCTTGTTGAGAGAAAATGACAGAATGACTTATATTGTTTGCGTTTCAGAATATATATCAGACAAACCTGTTGTTTTCCACAGTTTTTAATCACGTGATCTGATTCAAATGTCATTGTTTTTCAGTTCACGGGTGATATTGTTGAATAACATTTCTATATTAAAAATGTTGCTGTTTTTCATTTAACGGGTCATATTGTCGAATAAAATTTCTATATTAAAAAGTATGTTGACAGTTGGCAGTGAAATTGTATTATTTTGTTATCAAAGGAAAAGTATCAACAGATCATATTTAAAAAAAAATGCTTGTTGATAATTATTTTGTTTGCTACTTATAAATAACCAATGCATTGTATCTAACTTAATATGTTGTCTGTAATTGTCTGTACCCATATGTAGAAATGTATTATCTGTATTTTGTGTTGATAGCTGATCATACATCATCCGGTGCATTTAGTTTTAAATTGTCTAATCTTTGTGTGATTAAGAGCGAACCAACTGGTAAAGATCCTTGTTTTTCGTCGAAAACCCTCCAAGATGTTTTGTTTAATTTTGTGGGTTTTTTTTTACTTATCGATTTGTATTACATATATCCATCAAATATTAATATATGAAATAGGCTATTACCAATCGTTCAATAGTACTATTTGCACTGAATAATTCATATAAATATATCTTAATAAAATCCATAACAAAACATGAATGGGTCAAAACAATGTTTTTCTTTCAAATAAAATTCCATAAATATATTTTTTCTGTTAATGATCACCTTGATACAATACACAATTGAAGTAATTGTCATGACCTTTCGACAAATACCAGATATTTACTTTTATAAATAAGGGTAAACTTTAAATTATCGAATTGATGTTTATTTTGATTAATATCAGATGCTGTGAACGACCAACAACAGTATAATTATAACTGATAACAATAAGTGTATAATGCCAAAGAGAGGTTGAGATTGATAATTTTTAAACCTTTTTCGTTTGTAAATAATATTGTAGTAAAATTTTGGAGGCAAAATTTCACTTTTCATTAAATTCTTAAAGTTGGAATATTACTCCTGGTATCTATGATGAGTTTATTATACTTCCGTGTTAACGAAGATTGGATGTCTGTGGATATCTTAGATGGTAAAATAGCAGAAAAGAGTCGGTCTAGATCTTAAATAAAATGCGCAAATTATAAGGGGAGAATGTAATTCATTTGCAAGACTTTCCATTTAAATGAAGAAAATAAATCATACTTTTACGACTGTTTTTTACAAATACAGAATATCTGGTGTTTAATCAAAAAATTTAAAACTTTGTCATATAAGGGGAGATAACCCAGACAATGTTACTTTTGTAAATGTGTTATGGATTTACCTATTTTGTTTTGTACCAAAAGAACGAGTCCCGTGACCCTAACTTTGCTTTTTTTATTTTCTGAAAGCACATTAGAAAAGCTATCTTCTCTTATTTTGTATAAAGGTTCTGTCGTTTGGTTTCCGTTCTATCACACCAAAATGAATTTTCAATGTATTATCTATACAAAATCTGACAATTTTTGCACATTCTGTAACTTAAAAAAGAGCCTCGTGACCCATACTTTTATTATTTATTTTTTTTAAAGCATGAAATGAATACATTTTGGCAAATTCTATCGATAGCTATTTAATTGTCTACATATAGATGTATAAAAAGACTATTCAAAGAGTTGTTTCCAACTTACTGTAAGTCAATAGAGGTCATTTGTAACTTGGGAAGAGGGAAGTTTTATGTCCCATTCACACTTGTTAACCGATAACATTTGTGTACAGGTGTGTACATTTGTCTTAGACAATAGACTATCGCTAACACCACAGGCTAAGTAGACGGTACAGATATTTTAGTCTAATATATTGTTCAATGGACAGGTTTACTGGTATAAAAAGGGAACTCAGGAGAGCTTATAATTTGATATGTCAGATGTGTGTTTAGTCTACATAGGACACATCAGTGAAAATCAAGTCAAACCAGTTGGAAGCCCAAATCAATAACAAAGTTGAAAAGTATTAAAAGCAAAAATTGGGGAAAGTTGTGCCAATAATGTACCAATAAATGTATATATTGTCATATACAACTTTTATTATAATAAGTTATTAAAAATGAATTAGCTTCTGTAACTATATAGGTCTAATGATCAAAACTAGTTATAATGCACATTGTCCAGTCCATAATGATATATAGTTACAGTGACACTCACCTATAGTTAGTGTTAATCATGAAAATGATATATCTCCTATTACAATATAGTATCATATATAATGATCAAAAGGAATTATGATAATATAAGATTTATAAAATGGGCTATAATGACTAAAATAACGTGATGTCCAGCTCATTCTTTTGAAGTAGTCCATCTGTTAATGGAAAACAACTTGAACTTCCGATAGTGTTTGGCTTATTGACTATAAGTCACGTTTTCAGCATTTCACATCTTAAAGCACGCAGTTTGGTATTAAGAACATGAGAAATATTGTTTAACATGCACACGTATAAAAATTATGGTTTTTATCCAACGCAATCATAGGTTTGAACGTTGTTTTCAATTTAGACTCGTTTATAGTTTTTCGTTTGGGCTTGTATTATATTTTCCTTCGGGTTTATATGATCCGTTCATCCTATTTCGGCTCTTCAAAATTCAAGAGTCTATCCTAAATTGAGGTAAATTATATGGCCTTCCAAATACCGTTTCGATCCCTAACATCACTGAAGAGACATTGATTGTCGAAATCCGGATATGGTGCACAAATTTTTGCACCTCATGTTTGCGATATACCATCTTCTCCGCAAGTTTATTGTTTTCTGTTTGGTATTAAATTAAATATAAGATCCATGTTACATCTGGTGATCAATTCATTTGGCAATCGTCAATGGCAGTCAGCAGGGTTTAAGAACATCCGTTGTTCGACCTGTTAGTCAAATGCGTTTTGTTAAAATATACTTTTCACTTTTTTGGTCTTTTGGAAAATTTTGTTTGTGCTGTATTTAGACCCATCTAGCAAGAAATTTGTTTTACATGCACACGTATAAAAATTGCGGTTTTTATCCAACGCAATCATAGGTTTGAACGTTGTTTTCAATTTAAACTCGTTTATATATATATAAACTGATATGGGCCAAATTTGGAGAAAATCTTCTGCAACTATAATCAGTTACTATATGGTTAAAATTTAAAAAGGAAACTTTTTGTGATGCCATTAAAAGTTTATTTACCTTTATTAAGCGAAGAATTCGGGAGGCATTGATAACTAATCTATGTCAATGAGTTTGCACATAAAACCAATTAGGTTCGAATGAATCTTATGAAAAGATTGTATTTATAGAAGAAAAGGAAGAAAGTTAGAGATGAGGGATTTAACCACTTTCAACTTTTAATAAAACTATGTGATATATTTACTATTTCTTGAAAACCATCAAACAATAAGGCATATTTCGTACCCTTTAACTCTTAACCATGCCAATATAAAAGTAAGAAGATGTGGTATGACTATCAATGACAACTCTCCACCATAGACCAAATAACGTAAAAGTAAGCAACTATAGGTCATTCTACAGCCTTCACGCAAATTTTTAAAATTGTTGTTCAATACTATTCATCAACATATTGTTTAAGGTGTTACAAAGTAATGAAGAACAATCAACAGCAATCTGTGTCACATGACTTTCTAAAAATATCAACAGCTGTCATGTATATAACGACTTCATCATTATTATAACTTACATTTTGAAATCAGTCACATAAGATTAAAAATATGATTTTTTTATCACTCTGGGTTGAGTTCATTATGACACCACCTGTAAGAAATAGTGATGTAATTACCAAAACTGGACATGGAGCTAGTTGTCCAACGACACGTCCGTACTCAGCCTTTATTAACATTGAAGATTAGAATGAGTATCTCGTACACGTGAATACTGTTTCGTTTAATGTTACAAGCAGTTTAATTATTTCATAAAAATAGTGTAATTTTTGTAATTCTCCACCAAAGATCCGTAAGCAAGACCCTCTACGTCACGGACATGTTTTCTTATCACCACTAAAATGATTTATACCATCCATATCTAAATATTCCTTTGGTATTTATACAAATTATGAGGAAACTAAGGTCGCAATGGTCTCAGGCAAGATTAACTTTACATTGTTGTGGCTATTTTTTTTAGGGTTCGTTTCGTCGTAAAGCTCCTTAAGTATTGATACCTCCCTACTTTACTGGTTTGAGGATTCCTGTTGCAGATGAATCCAGAAAAACGCCTCGAAAGTACAACATTTAGAAAGTGTTAATTTCAATATATAGTTTTCAAATCATACCCATGCATCTTTAGCAAAAGTATTTTACTGTTTTTTTCCGACACA